CTCCCGAAATGGAAGGGGGTGGCTTTGGAAGATGGTTTTCAGGGTGGTACGGGCTCACCCAGCAAACTGTCAAGGCAGCTCCGGTGTAGGATGGGCAGGAATCGTGCCACCCAAGAAACCTTCTCCCTGTGGATGGGGTGAGGGGGTGGGAGCGGGGAGGTGGCAGAGCTGCTCCGAGAGGATCTCTGATGACCCGGGCTGGGCTGGGGCTATTTTTGGCAACTTTCTCTTTGTCCTCGTTTGAGATAAGCCAGCACCCTCCAGCTCCCACAACTTGCCATGTTTCTAAGGAAAGATGTGGGTGGCTTTCCGCAACTACTGGGGCCCTGAATTACGTAAAGAGCAGGGTGAGATTCCTTTTTCAGAGAGAAACATTGACATTTCCCCCCCAGGATCTCTTTGCAAATCCGTGTTGAATAATTGCAGCAGAGGAAGGCAGGAGGAAGGATTTCAGAAAGGGCAGAAGATTTCCTTTGGGCATTCTCAAAAAAATGCAGCCTCGCATTTGGGAAATGCCCGGAGCGCCTGTTCGTTAGCAAAGCTTTCACTGGCTGTTTTCAAATCTGCCTTCGTTTCCAAAATAACCTTGCTAAGGATGGGAAAAGTTTTGCAGACAAGCTGTGTGAGCCCCAGATGAAGCTGCAGGGTGTATTCCTGCCTGAGCTCAACCCACAGCATTGACCTAGTGTTTTCTTATTTCACTGAAAAATCTTGCAATAACTCAGGGAGGGTTTTGCGTTGAGCAGAAACCTCTTTTCCTCCTCGGCCGGCTGTTACGCCGGGAAATCCATCACGGTCCGTGTGCCATGGGCTCTGTGGGTCTCCCAGCAGCAGCCGTGTCCGGCGGGCGCTTCCCTGGGACCCAGCCTTGCGGCGAGCGCGGCTGGGCGATGCTGCGCTGAGCGGCTGCGGAGGACTCACGGCACAGGAATTTCCCCCCTACGCCGTAACCCGTATCCTGCTCCGGGAGCGATGACATCCCCCTCTCCCAGCTGATACCTCGCCTCTCGGCTGTGTCAGTGCATGCG